ACACCTGCGGTCCAGAGTTTTGCAAATATCTCAGCAACGTTGTGGTTGTATTTCGCTTAGTACCCTGCCCACCTTTTCGACTCGACGCTACTTCCTGCCCTAACGTATTCGTCAGAAACCTGGTCGCTGCGTAAGCAGGATGAAAGATCACTCAGCGTTATCGAACGCACAGTCGAAAGGACAATGCTGGGAGTATCCTGTTCCACAAATGTGAGGAATGGGATCCAAACCTCCGATTTGCGTCAAGGATCAAAAATCAAAAATGCCGTTCTGTAGGCCAAACAGTCGAAGATAAGGTGGGCCGGACACGTAATGCGTATGAATGACAGCTGATGGACAAGAGCCGTTAGCGACTGGATTGCTCGGCATGTCAAACGTACTGCAGGAAGACCACCGACCCCATGGTCAGAGTTCTTCACGAAGAGCCTAGAAGAAAGATATGATGCTGGACGAGTTCCTAGAGCAAGCAGAAGCCACTGGGCTACTCTTGCACGCGACAGGGGAAAATGGAAGATTTACTGGCGCCCGCTCGAGTCACTCGACCGTCAGCGGGACTTTAGGTGATACTGGGGATATATATATACATATATATTTGGGAAGTCTGATACCGTCTTACCACTCCTTAAGGTATAGGGGCTCTATTTTGTATATGGTGCAAGATCGAAACAGCAATTATGTGCATTATAGGGCTCCTCTAACCACTGAGCCATATGCGTCCCACTTTTGTTTTGCTAAATTCACCACTGCGGTTTTGTCAAATTAATTGATCATTGAGCTGTTTTTGTTGTACAAAATTCGTATGGTACTGAAGGCTTGCATTCAGTCATTCTAAGAAGAAGTAGGAAGTGGGTGAAAAGTATGCGTTTATGAAACTTTGTTAGGAACTATGCACATGGCTTGTAGCTTGTTTATAACAGAATAGTAGTGCTATAAAGAAGAAATAACCAGATGCTAGAGAACAATCACTAGATCTGGAAACACATTACCAGAAAGTCAGCAGAATGAATGGCTGGTTTTTCTTTGAGGTGTTCTTCTACGGTCCTGACGGTTATTTGGGAAAACATCGTAAGTTGATGCCGACAGCTTTGGAACGATGTATCTGGGGGAACGGTGACGGCTCGACAATGCCGGTGTGTGATTTTTTTCCTTCTTAGTTTTTTTTAGTTTATTTTGAAACTGCCCTTCCTAAGACTGTTTCTTCATTATATCTGACCTTCTTTTGATCGTATTTTCCTCTTTTTTCAAGTATAATTCAAATTAAAATTCTCCAGAACTCTCCAGAAATTGAAATCATGCTCCTTTTAATATCGAACTCTGTTGCCATGGCGGGTGTTCATTCGTTCCTGATGCTCATACTCAGCTACAAAAACGAGTTCAGCACCATCATCTGGATCGAACTCCAATCGATGAATCTTGTCCACAATGGAAAGCACATACCGTCAAAGCAATAAATGATCCTTCGTTTCACAGAGTTCGGTGATCACAAGTGGTGACGAATTGAATAGGAGAGCCTTGTAGCAGCCACGTCGGGCGCCAGGAAAGATATCTTTCCCAATTTGCAGCAAAGCATTAAAGGATAAAAGGTAAAACTCTCGGCGATGATCAATCCCTCTTCCACTGAGTATGTCGCGTGAAGACCGACCGCACAGAATTGACATGGAAGCGTAGGACTCATAGAAAGCTGCTCTGAGGAAGGCGAAATCCGCCTAAACGTCAGCTTGTGCGTGAATAAAGAAATGAAATAGCACCTCGTGTTTGCTGAACAGAAGTAGAAAGAATTATTCAATCAATGCTGAGGTTAATAGAAAGTCAGACTTGAAAGTTTGTTATGTCAAGATATGCTATCTGAGTCCGATCAACTAGATTAATTTACTTAGAAACAAAGCACATGCCAGAACGGAGGACAATTTCTATTTCCATTTCTATCGCTCTACCTAAAGCTAGAACCTCTCAATATTATTGCTGTTGATTTCATAGAAAATAGCTCCGATGTGGGTAACACTTTTAACATAAGACGAATTTTCATTAATAATAAGATAACTTAATCCGATTACTTGGTTGGATAGCTCATTGTTGTTCACTTAACATCACATAGAAGCCAATTAGACGCAACAACTCTTCCGCGAACTTTTTTCCACCTTTATTGAACGTCTCACAACTATGAAGTGTTCACCGTTGAAGAATCCCTGACTAGTATACCATAAGTCAGTGAGCCCATGTTTGCGTATAAAATGCATAAAGTCCGCGTTTTTCACCATCTCAGGTGAGTTCAGGGCTAATTTTTGGGCACCGAAAGGATGGTGCTTCATTGCCCGGGATGTAGGATCGATCCAGCTGTCTCGTACATCATGCAGCATATCTCTTGCCACTGCATACAACACTTATTGGTTTATACAGAAGTGTTTTTTAATTTCTAACACAGTGCAGATGGATTCTGGAGATTCGCCCCAGGAAAGCATGGAACCAAGCTTGTGTTCACGATATCTTCTCCAAGACTGGCATAAATCCCATATAACGTCTTCGTCTGTTCACATAAAGCCGTTTGTCATGTCGAATGTCTATCATATTGTAGACATACCAGAAGCAATATCATTGTAAATTACTATAAACACATTGTTTTCCTTCATTTCTTTTCGTCGGGAATTCTTCTTGTCAAGTTCTTAGCCGCTGGTCAATCATTTTCTTGCTGAACCATTGTCAGCCGTTGTCCTAAACTGACTTAACGTTATCCAGAAAATTTGTACTATAGTATAATATAGTATTACAATATAGTATAATAAATATTAAATTTAATGTTATATACAATAATAATAATAAACAATGGCCCACTAAGCCTTCTATCTCCTCCGGGGTCGGCGAATTGTTACCAGACCAGTCTGGGAAGATAATAGCATTGGCTCGATATATCGGCGGGCCACTGCGAGTCATTGGAAAGGCCAGATATGCATTCAATCACCTCCAAACGATCTTTAATGAAGTCAAATGCATGGCACAGCTCACAGGGATTGATCAACGATAAGAGCTTTATCCTTTTTTACTTTTAATAATAAATTATAAAAATACTAAATTATAATTAACAATAATTCGATGTTTTTCCTTATTAAGCATTTGTAGTTTCTAGAAGATTCGATTTATGTGCAACAGCGCCCCACCATTGCTTTGAGCGCTTCAGAATAATGCGAAGACGTGTCTTTTCGACTTTTACTCAGTTTTTACTTGAATACTTGGGTAGGCCCGTCTTTACTGGTGGTGCCGGCTCCAGCATAATTTTCATACCTTTCTCTCTCACCCAATCATCGTTCATGATGGTGGTCTACTTCAAACATGGTGGCGTGCGCAAGCCCCATTCCGAATTCCTGAGATCCTTTCCATCTCCGAATGCAGATGGTTAACCATCGACCACATCCGTCCATCGTTTGGGTGGTGTTCCAAGTGAGCGCACTCTTTTGGAATTTACTCCATAGTTCTTTTCCTCCATCTGCCGTATGTCCTTCTTCTAATGTGACCAATACATCTATTTTTCGCTCTCCTGAGTACTGTAGATGGGATAGGTTATGAAGATCTGAGCTGCGTATTCTAGCTAGACGTTATGAATGCAGGGTAAATATCAGAAGACATCGCTTACAAGCTCTATGCGTGGTGCGCAGATTTCTTGGCGTGACTGGACTGTGAGCTCACGTCTTTGCTGCATAATAGAGCGTTGGGAGGACTGTTAAATCGAAAGGTTGAGTAGTGAGTTTTGTGGCTGATAATTGGTGTGTGGCTCCTTTGAAAGGCCAGAATGCAACTCCAAGCTTTCGTCTTTCTTCTGCTTGATTCCTTCTCCGTATTGTTCCCCGTGTTCATTTAACGCACAAAGTACTCCTACGAGTCGGTCTCTTTAATCAAAAAATCAACCAGCTTGCCCTGTTTGCCTTCGCTTCCTTGGTTTTTCATGGACTGTGTGTTTCCGATTTTTGCGCTGTCTAATCTTTTTTCCCCGCTTCGTTGAGCTCATTGAGCTCATTGATACCGTCTTTGCTTTGTTTCTACTTGTTGAAAGGAAGACGACTTCGTCAGCAAAACGGAGATGTGATAGGAATTTCCCATCAATGTGTGCATTCTTCTAGTTCCAATCGGGTGGCTTCATTATCCACTGTAGTGTGGCAGTTAAGCGCGTTGACGGTATTGTGTCACCTTGTCAAACAACTTTTCCTATGGGTGTGATAAGAACTCGGTGAAAAAGCCGTATATTTGCACTTCAATTCTGATAACAGTCAGCTAATGTCCGTGTTTAGGATGGGTCCAGTTCTTAGTGGAGGCTATAGTCGGACTGCATTCGCTTTGACGCTGTGAAACGCTTTATTAATTGATAAAGATTAAGATAAAGGAGAGATAGTACTCCCGGCAGACTCCTATGACCCGTGATACGGTTTCGATTTCGTCTATGCAATAGAATTTCTGGCGGAATCCTACTTCCTCCACTGGTTGTGCTTACCCAGGGTCTTGAATATGTGCAAAGGGTTAATCTTTGTTAAATGTCTGTAGGGTACACTCAACAAGCATACTGCGCGGTAGTTACAAAGATCCCTTCGGTGACATGACCTAACGCAGCGTCCCTCCAATGGTTTGGGAATTTCTTTTTCTGAAGGTAAGATGTCATGTGGGTTGCCAGAAATAGCTGTAATTTGTGCTTTTCAGCTCTAAAGCAATCGACGAAGATACTATCGGGTACTGGAGCTATGTCTTTCTTCATATGGTAGCCCGTACTTCAAAAGATGGAATTCGGGCGGTTTTTTACTAGCGGAGATTTCAAGGTTCAAGACGAAGGTTGAAGTGAGAAAACGATAGGTAAAGCCTTCCCTTTGTCAATCCCATGCAATTACAGGATGCAGTGATAGAATGTGATGACTATAATGTTCCACAGCCTGCCCTGATGACGAAGGTCGGAAGATCACTGTTCGGATATTACGTAAGCCATACAATGATATTTCCATCAAGACAAGCGAACTGAGAACAATACTAGACGCCTGCCATTAAAGGATAAAGTGTAGAGACTTTGGTATTGTTCTTTTCTACAGGAATGTGCCACGCGTTAGACTCCGTTCGCCGGATTGTAGGAATGGTGGAATGAATGTTAATTTGTGAAAAACAACCACTATGATGGTGAGACATCTGCAGAACTACAGAACGCAGGTGTCTGTGGTGGGAAACGAACGAAGTCTTTCCTTTAATTCTATAAAATCTTCAACTCCTGTCACTCTGACCGAGAAATTATCGTCAGGTCCAGCGATTGTATTACAACCATAATGATGCTGAAATATTTGCAAAACTCCGGAAAGCTGGTGTCTACGGTGGAGACCGAAAACGATATCCTTTTCGGGCGCTAATGCGTTCACCGTCACACCATGTCGGTCCTTCGTTTCGTTTGTCTCTCAGCTAATTTTCTATCTGCGAGTGCCCGGTCGTAAAAATTGTAATAGGGAGCAAATAGAAAGCTAGTAGAATGCTACTTTATCATTTGTTTTACATGACCCGTCATCACATCTGCTGCGAGGATCCCAGCACTTCATGCACTTCGTGCATGCATACATCGTTTCCTTGCATTCACTGCGCACAGTGGTCTTCGAACATTTCTCTTGTTGGTTAACCTTCTGCTTGGTGATTTCATCTTTCTTATGAATTTTATAGAATGATGATCGAGCCAAATCTATCTGCAGTCGTGAAGATAGCGGGGCTAAAGCGTCCCCATGTGCAGCGGAGAAGGGTTTAGGGAGAGGACCGAACAAGGGTCTTTACTTCTTGATGGACGGCACCACTAACCACTGAGCTATCCCCGGTCCGAATGAATGTTGTACCTATGCAATCATTTTCGAGGGGTTATAGAGGCTATTCTGTTACCAACCAGAGCCAATCGCGAAAGCATGAAAGACTTGCTTAACCTAGCCGGCGCAGTGGGACTCACTACAAAACGAATACTGCGGGGATCTATAGCCACTACAATACGTCTGTCTCTAACCCTGGTCGTTGCAGAGCGAAAGATTCTCTGCGTGCTATTGGAATGGTAGGCTGGAGTGAACAGCTGCAAGCAGTTGAGAATTTTGGAAATCTAGCGAGCGTCTCCTATGCTTTTAGCAGCTTTTCAAACGAACTGTTTATTGGAACAATGCTGTTAATTGGTCTCTTTTTTGGCTTTTTGCTTCTTCCTTTTATTCTTCATCACTTATTTTGTATCAGACAAGCGTCACCAAAAAGAAAAACAGCCATTTTGTTCAGTTCCATTTTGAGCATTTCATCTTCCTATCCTTTTCAAAAGGGCGAGGGTTGCGTAATGGATAGAAGTGCCCTGCAATACGCATGTGTTCGATTTCGAGCCCTACGCTCAGCAAGCTCATTCCCTGAGCAGGCAAATTGTTGCTAGGGCCGTCTAGGAATATAGCAGCACTGACTCAATACATTGGTAGGATACTGT